GTGCCTAGCGGGGTATTTGGTCTATTTTTGCCGGCTAGGTGTTCTTTCATGTGGACACAGAGGGGTCTACCCGTTTCGCCCAGAGGTCCCGGCGAAATTCGCCGAAACGTCAGCTCATTCGTGAACAAAGAACAATAACACCTCGCGTTTGCTCAAAAAAATACGAACAAAATAAACGGTAGGTGTTTGAATGAAGCTGTTTCTTATGCCAATGCAAATCGAATTGTCAAGTTTTATCTGCTAGGGTTGTGAAAGTGTTTGGCTGAGTAGATCACATCTCAATTTGACCTTTCCAGGCTCTGAAGAAGGCGAAACCGCCGAAACGTCAGCAATTGTGTTCTAATAAATTCTATATTAACAACCTCGTGTCTGTTTATTGATGAAAAACATTGCATTTCTAAACCAATCCTGCGCAGGATCACGTGTAGTCTACATGAACTTCAAGATCATCTACGTTACAGGGTTAGGCTAGAAAGGTTAGGTAAAGTAGTATCAAGGGAGAACTACCACCAATACCCTTTCTCCGAACTTTCTTTAAACAAGAGCTACCAAATAGCGATATTGACCATACATTTCGTTTATTTTCGGACGAAATTCTCCGCATACCTAATCACTACCAAAAACGAAAAAGAAGCTCCAACCCCACACACCAACAAAAATGTGGTATGCGCCAGGTTAGAGAGCTTTTGAATTCAAAATCTGTTAGACTTTCTATTAGTGATAAAGGCGGAGAATTTGTAGTTCTTCCTAGTCAGCTGGATAGTAGGATAAAAGAGGAGCACCTCAATGATGTTTCTCTCTATCGAGCATCCTCTGAAAAGGAATACAGAAATCAATACCGAAAATTAAATCAACAATGGGTCAGCACGGCAAAGGCCGCAGATTTAGAGCCTTCAGTTATTTCTCGACTTAAGAACGAACACCCGATTTGCCCCGTCCTTTACTTGCTTATTAAAACACATAAGCTCACTTCAACTGATGATATTACGTCAACGAACCCATCATCATATAAAGCTAGACTTATCGTCAGTTGTATAGACGGCCAACGGATAGAATAACGTGGTTCCTAAACCTTATCCTAACCCAGCTGCTAAAATTCATTCCAACCCATCTACCTAACACAAAAATATTTCTGGATCACCTAAGGTGCGCGCAACCAAACAGCACGCGTACAATGGAGTCATTCGATGTTACTTCACTTTATACCAACGTGTCCAATGGCTCCGCAATGCAAGCCATTCTCGAGTTACTCGTAGAGCATGAAAAAAATGCACGGCTTGTCGATTGCGCAACTAATGACACTCTTAAAACAGTGTCTTGGTTGTTCAATCTTTAGGTGGTCTGGAAAATATTTTGCAGAAATTAGAGGGTTGGCGATGGGACAGCGTTAGCACTAAGCCTTGCCATCGCTTTCATGTCTAAGGTGGAAGCTTCTCGATCAACGACCCTTACTCTACTGTCGATACGTAGACGACTGCTTCATCGTCTGTTCCACACAAGAACAGATGGATGAGTGCTTTAAATTGTTAAACCGACAGGCAGAGTATATAATATTTACACGAGAGGATCCTAACGAGAACTGGCTTCCATTCTTAAACATCCAAATAAAGCTCTCAGTAAGTGGCTATATAACAAAATGGTATCTTAAGCAAAGTAGTAATAACATTCTAGTTCACTGCCTCTCCTCTCATCCTTCACACGTGAAAAAAGCACTTATCAAAAATATGTATCGTACGGCTAAAAATGTGTGTACAGGAGAAGAGGAAAGGAAGGAATCGCGAAACCTGGCACGAAAAATTGCCATTTCCAATGGCTAAAAAGTAGAAGCCACTCGGATTAGAGGAAAACGTTGGGTAGTTTATCAAAATAATATTTCGGACGTAAGTAAGATCCCCTTTAAGCTAACCTCCATATCAAATGAAGTAGGTCACGCCATTAGAAAGTGCTTAAGAAAAGGTGGTCTTGAAAATTATGCAGCGATTATTGACATCCCGCCCAATACCCTACGCAGCCAGTTAGTTGGAAACCGTCTCTATGATCGTTTGTGCAGCTCAGGAAACTGTATGATCTGTCCTAACGGGAGAGACGTGGATTGCATGAGTTTAGGTATAATATACTTGATCTCATGTAACGCATGCGGTGAGGAATATATTGGGGAAACGGGTAGATCACTTTGTGTCCGCATAAAAGAATATCTAGATGGAAAAGCTAAAATCCGTCTAAACACTCCCCTAGGTACGCATAGGGCACAAAAGTACAACGGCGATGATTCTGAAGTGAATGTGCGGATCCTAGCGTGGGAATCAAAAACATCAACGCGCAAAACTCTTGAGGCGTTTTGGATAAATTTCAAAAATCCAAAGATGAACTGGAAGGACGAGTCTCACTATCACGCGTGATCTGGCGCCCTATTTCAAAATGATATTTTGACCCCTGGGCGTGTCTTGCTCGCGACTCCACGTGAACTACGTGTAGGCCAGTCCCGCACGTAACATCACGGTGAGTGGCCTTTCTGTTCAATATGGCGTCTATTTGAAAGTTTGATCTTCATTAATACTTTAACCTTCTTTTCCACCGAATAATAAAAAGTATTCCTCAGAACCGTGACAGTTCTAAGATCACATAAATAAATATATCAACTACCCATGCCGAGGTTTTTTTAGAAAGTCGGTCTTTCGAGTTATTCATTAAAGCACTTGAACTTTCTTCGACCGGCGACCTTTTATCGACCGTTCCATCACCATTTATGGCTAAACCTACCATCAATTGTATAAGTAGACTCACGGATGGAATTATATGGTTACCTCAACCTTATCCTGACCTAGTAGTTGAAATTCGCACCAATACTTTTTCGTAACACCAAAAAATATTCCTAGATCATCTACTGTGCGCGCAACCAAACAGTATCAATGTAATCGAGTCATTCGATGCTACTTCACTTTGTGCTAATGTGTTGAATAATGTCGAATGAGTCCGCATTACAAGCCACTCTCGAACTGCTAGTAGAACACGAAAAAAAAATAAATGTGTATGGCAAGTCACTTCGACAACTAATGACTCTCTCAGAACAATGTCTTAGGTCCGCAGGTGTATGCAGTGGGGAACGAACACAGCAAAGAAAAAGGCAGTAAATAAAAGGGTTAAAAATGTCTTAGGTGTTCAATCTTTACATGCGGGGGAAGATCACCTGTATCATCTTTAGCCCCGTTGATCGTCGAGTGAGTCAAGCGAACGTCAGTAATTTTTCCATTGTTCCCTGTCGCGTTGAAGAGTAACCCAGTGAGCTATGCTCTCACTAGAGACTCATTGTGCATCATACCCTTCTTCTATGGTTTTCTTGAAGAACTAGTGCGATCCATTGGTTGTTGTTCATGCGCATTACGTGTACGACTCAACTTATCTTCCACAGTTTGGTGTGTAAAACGTATACTTGATTTTCTTCCCGCTCACGAAATCTGCACTTCGGATTCCTTTCCTCACTTGTATGACACGGGATACTCCTAGCATAGTCGTTTCGGCTGAGCGTCTAATAACGCTGAGTGATCTTTCGTCCTGCCTAGGCCAGATTTCTGGCCAGTGACCAGGTTTCTGACGCATAAGTTAGGTTAGGAAGAATCGTGGAGTCGAAGAGAGTGGGCACCAGCAAAGCGAAGATGGTTTACTTATCTACCATCGATTTTTACTCCCATATTATCCCATTCCAATGTTCGCATGACGTTCTGGAGGGTGGCGGTAAATAATTTTAGCGAGATGGCATCACCTTGACTAACCCCTCTTTTGACGTCGATGTTAATATCGTTGTGGAATGGTGACATCTTGGCTGCGAAGTTTTTATGCTGTCCACAAAAAATTTTTATTAGACAGTAGAGATCCATTGGTTGTACAGAGCTTTCACGACTGCTTGTTTCAACTGACTTAAAAGCAGTAACTCCCACGACCGACTTTCTATTAACCTCGGCATTGAACGAGTAATTCATCGTATTTTTGTTGAGCAAACGCGAGGTGTTATTGTTCTTTATTCACGAATAAGCCGACGTTTCGGCAGATTTCGCCTTCCTCAGAGCCGCTTTCTATGAGGTTTCCACCAAGTATGTCACGTAGAGACCAACCGCACAGAAATCACATGGAAGCATAATGTGCTTATGACACACCATGGAAAAAGAAATCAAAGACGAACTCACTGTATCTACAAAGCCGAATGGTGATGTGTTGAAAGCTATGAAGGTAAGCACATGGTTTCGTGTATAGGCATGGGATAAGTAATAAAGCCGAATCTTCAGGATTACGCAGAAATCAAACAAACTAACATAGAACCAGTAGGCGATACAATCGCAAGAGTCAATAGAGAGAGTAGAGTCGACATGGCGCTGTTCCAAGGAGACATTATTTTAACGAAGTTTGTTCACTTTGTAAGTGTGCTTGTCGTTCTTCATGCCCCTTCCATATTTTCAGAGAGCAAGCCGACGAGATCATTGAAGACATCAAAGAGAACAAAGGTGGTCGCGTCAAACGGCAAGCGTTTCGTGACGAAAAGTATCCTAAATATTTGTGGTCCAATGGAGTCAATTTCGCATTTTACAATGCAAGTTTGTCTCTTATGCTTCTTTTCACTGCGTCATACTCACATAAAAGAGATACTACGTCTTTTCACAACCAAGTTCAGCTAGTGTGGCGAAGAGAGTGTTTAAAAGAGCAGCCGCAATGTGGTCCTGGGATACTTGCATCAACTTCGGAGAGACCGATAGGGGTAAGCATGATAGGTAGTTTAGAACACTTTGAAGTCTTTC